CTCGGGAAGGCAGCCGTGTGCTCTGTGCGGCAGCTGCAGGGGCACCGGGGAGGGCTGGCCCCTCGCCCTTGGCGGAGACCTTCCCCCCAGAGCCGGCAGAGGCCCCCTCACAGCCCGTAGCCCGTCCTCCCTGCCGCGTGGTGTTTGCCTGGAGACGAACTGATGGGGTTTTCTCCCTAATGGCGCTAGCGTCCCCGGGAGCAGCCGGAGCCTTAGGTGAGTAGCGTAGGCATTTAGTTTATAATAAAGATAAAGTTTGCAATCAGCACTTCCTGTTCCAAGACATTCCAGTTGCTCGGTTTTACAGCAGCGTAAACTGTTGTAAAAGCAATCTGCTCAATTGGGCGAGTTAATGGTGTTTAATTTGACTGGCTGAACGTCCCCAGGTGAGCATTCCGCCCGTGACCGCGGCGTCACCGCGCCCCAGAGCGGGGCGCGCAGGGGTGCGATCCCAGCGTCGTGTTGCGGTTCGGGGTGGCTGGTGGGTGAGCCATCGCCGCCCCAGTCTCTCGGCGAGGTGATCGCATGATGGCAGTGTGGTAAGTGTTATGTGCACTTAATTCGAAACAGATTTGGCTGCAGTGATGGCTCGTCTGGGGTAGCAGCTCCCGCCTCGTCTCATCGTCTGTTACGAGAACATAATGATCCCTAAAATACCTTGTCAAGAGCTTGTGTGCAAGTATGCAGCCCTGTGAACTTTATCAGCCGCAGCCCCGAAGGACCCCTAGAAACCCAAGGCCTGGAAAGACTTCCGTGTGCGCTGGGGGCGGGGCGGGGGGCGGGGCCCTTGCACAAGTGCATCTTCAGGCCACCAGCTGGGCTGCCTCCTGCGTCCTTGATTTATAGATTGTGTCTCCTGGGAAAACGGGGTGATCCTGGTGTAGGGGCCCCATTAGCCCTGGTTTCTGAGTGAATCTTTGTCATTTGCACGTTAAGCCTTGTATGCAGATGATCTCATTAAACTTGCTAATGCCCAGCACATCCACTACACCATGTTGTAGATGCAGAAAAGGGACTCCAGCAGTTAAACTGCCCAGGGTCAGGGTTGCAGCCAAGGCCTGGTCCCGGAGTCGGGGTCCCTGGGCACCCCGGCTGCGATGAAGGGGGAGGCCACGTGGTGTGTGGAGGGCCTGGTGTGAACTGTGTGTGGTCAGCGTGCCACTGGCCTGCAGAAATCGCGCCCCGGGCACAGCGGTGGGAAACACGGCCTGAGGATCGGGCCCTGGGGGTGGGGACCGTCCACTGCCGGCTGGGGGGGCCTGACGGTCAGCTGGGCTCCGGGCCTACCCCCACCCCCGCCCCTCACCGGCAGTGCGCTGCTCTTTCCTCTGCGGCCTGGCGGGGGCGCTGGGGGGTCGCTGCACTGGCTGCTTTGGCATGCGCCCACAGGCGCAGCTCCGTGCCCTGCGCCTGCCGCCCCGAGCCCCGTCTAGAGGCCTTGCGTTCGTTTTCGGGGCGCCAGTGCAGCGCCCACTCAGTGGGTGCGGCCTGTGCTCCAGGGCAGCGCGGCGACCATCACTTTTGTCTGGAAAGAGCTGATGGGGCCACACTCCCGAATCACAAAAGAATTTTCAGTGTTTCTTAGTGAACCGGTGAGGACACGTTCCTGCCTCACGTGACCACGTATGTGTGTTGTGTTGAGACCTGTTGGATATTTTGGGCAGCAGGTAGTTAAACTCCAAGTAAAAATGGCCTGAAGTGTAAGGAATAGAATAACGATTATGTCAGGAATTTGGGGGTTAAGAGGTCCTAAGATTAGTTCATCTGCTCAGTGATATGGCTGGAGTCGCCACTTCCTCTGTGTCCTGCTCTGCACCCTGCAGTGCGCTCCTTTAGCCTCAGAGGTGGGCCCCCCACACGATCTGGAGACGCCCCCGGGAGTCCAGGCCACAGAAGCAGGGGCCGTGCCCCCCACGGGGAGGGCCGCCCTCCCTGGCAGTCTCCCGCTCCAGTCTGTGGGCCTGGAGTGCACGCCCCGCCCCCGCCTGGGCCGGCGGAGCCGGCCGGCCGCCCACCCCGGGCTCCGGGGGCAGTGCTACCCGGGCTGTGGGCACTTCGAAACCCGATCCCTCCCAGCAGTGGGGACACAGGGCTGCCCGGCGACCAGTGCTGTGTCCGGCCCCGACGCCGTGCAGAACGGACGACCCCAGGGTGGCCTCCTGTGTGGACGCGGCCGGCGTCGCGGGGGCGGGGGCCCCAGGTCGTCCCCTGTGGAAGAGGCCTGGCGTTTGGGCGTAAAGAACGACGTGGGAGCTGTCCCCAGGCCCTGACGTCTGCGTGCTGTGTGGGCGCCGCTGTGACCAGCGCGTGGGCTGTCGGCGGCCACGGCCACAGCTCCTGGGGCGCAGGGTCACCACCAGCTGCACTGCAGCTGCCCCGGGCACCTGGCCCCGGGCGGCACGGGTCCACCGAGCGCGTGGCCTGGAGAGTTCTGCCTCACGGGGACTTCGCAGGCCTCCAGGTGGCTCTCCGAACGCCCCTCCCCCCGGCCAAACTCACTGCCTCCTGTCGTCCGAGGCTGCGCGTCTGGGCTCTGAGCAGGGACGGGGTCAAGGTGGTCAGCTGGTTTGGAAACGAGAAGGAATTCCTTTGTGTCCTTTTATTCTTTCTCGAAGAAGGAAGAGTAAACCCTGGCATTGCCAGCCGTCCGGGTGGAGGGTGTCAGCCTTGGTGGTTTGGCCACTCGCTCGTCGATGCACCTGAGTCACTTTCTGGCCCAGAGCCCTTGTCCCACGACACTCGCTTGGGACGTAACTGACTCACTTAATCGGACTGACCCCAGACCACCAGTGACCCTGCTGTGCGAGCCGTCTGGGCTCCATAAGGAGGACAGGACACGATGTTTGTCCCTCAGCCCAGCAGCGGTTCACCCGGCGCTGGCCCCGCAGGCCTGGTGACAGGTTCTCAGGAAAACGCCGGAAATGGGCTGCGGAAGCAGCAGTCGGGCCCTGCTCGGGCCGAGAGAGACCACGCGCTCTGCCCCGCGGAGGACGGACCGCCGTTGGTGGGCTTCGGGGTGGAAGGCGCTAAGGGGACACGCACGTGCCAGAGGGCAGGGTCAGCGTTTGGCATGGCATTTGCAAGGAAACACTGAGGTCATGCCTGTTGAAGGGGTGTAACACTAGTGGAAGGGATTTAAATTCAGGATTCAGGTGCCATGTTAAGCAACATGAAGTTGTCGGTGGTTTCTCTCCAAAGATGTGGGGAGGTGAGGAACTTCTGAAGGAATATGAGGTCTGTCTGGGAAAAGCCCAGCCATTCTCAATGTAACGAGAACGGTTTGCGTGACACGATGTCACCTGGCGGCCAAGGAGCGTGGCCTGGAGTGCGCACGTGTGAACCATGACGGCTTCCCTGCCCTAGTCAGTGGGGCCGGTAGACGCCATTGAGTGAGCACATGCACTGTGTGGCTGTCACATTCGAAATGACCGTGCGAGAAGAGCAACGCGTCCGCATTGAATTTTGTCTTAAGCTTGAACGTTCCTCCACGGACACTGTCTGGACGGCTCAGAGGCTGCAGCTCTGGGCAGCTGGTGACTGGCAGCTTCATCGCGACAGTGTGTCTCCTCCTGCGTCAGGTCTCCTGCAGGGGTTTTTGGTGAAACATCCAGTCCCCCAGGTGACTCCGCCCCCCTGCAGCCCGGATTGTGCGCCCTGTGCCTTCGCGCTCTTCCCAAAACTACAATCACCTGTGAAAAGGAGATTTCAGACCCTGGATGAGATTCGGGAAAACACAGTGCGGCAGCGGATGGCGGGGGGGGGACCGGAGCGAGGGCCCAAGGGGCCTGCTCGGAAGGGGACGGGGGCGTCCTTGTCCTGTTTCTCGTGTCATCTTCAGTAAACGTCTCTGTTTTTCATATTCCACGGCTGGGCACCTCTGGACAGACCTCGTATGTTCTGCAGGCTGAGGTCCCTATACCGTGATTGTACATTTGCCTTTAAGGAGCAAACCCACTCGGATTGGTATCGAAACACAGGGTCCGGCACAAACAACAGCCCTCTCTCATCACAGACATCTCCTATTAACAAAATCATGAGCATGGAATTCTGTAACATAACAGCATCACACTCAAGACACCACACGACGTTTTAGGTGAAATGTTCAAATTGCTGTCTGTCTCGTGCGAGACACGCACCCTCCCAGCCGCGCTCGGTGGTGTGACTCCTGCCGCACCCTGGGTTGCGGAGCCCGATGGCGTGCGTGGGGTGCAGTCACTAGACGTTGCCAAGCTGTGGGAATGGGGCGTCGTTTTCCCAGCTGCGGGGGTGGGCGCGGGAGGGCAAACAAAGTTGGTGGCTGTTCGTGTTGTTGGGAATGACGTCCTTTTCTAGAAACGGGGTCCTGGCCTCTGTTTCCCCGTGTGCGTCGCTGTGAAGCCGGCCGAGTCGAGTGAGCGCTGGTGGCGCCATGGGAGAGCATCCCGGACGCAGGCTCCGGAATTCTCGGCCGCCACGGCCACCAAGGTGGCCTTGTGCCGTTCCCATGACGCCGCCAGCGGCGGGGCGTGAGGGCAGCTGGGAAGCCACATCACGATTAACCCAGCTCTTGCTTCCCGGATGTTGGCCAAACCCCCAGTACCCACCTGTGGCCTGGCTTCCGTTCACTTTGTGTTCCGTCGGCTTTTTAAACAAAAGCAAAGGAATCCATTTAAAGAGCAAGCTTCCTATCAGTTCCATAAAAGCAACAATGATGTCACCTGACACAAACTGGCAAGACACTGCCCCCAAAACATAACAATGTAGCTGGTTCCTAGTTAGCTGGGAGAGCATTCTGCCTGCGGCTGTGGACGCCCAGCAGGAAGCCCCGGCCCCCGGGAGGTTCGCAGCTCCTGCCAGGGCCATGCACCTCCCCACGCACCGGCCCCCCGTTTCTGAAACTTGGAAAATCGCGGTTCTCTGAGCTCCCCAAGCAGTTCTTCCTTTCAACCGCTTACACACAAAAACAGTCTTTCCAGATTCCTCTTAATTAGACTCTCATCCCTCCTGAACTCTCTTGACAGGTCAACGGCAAGGACTTATCCCGGGCGACGCACGAGCAGGCCGTGGAGGCCTTCAGGACGGCCAAGGAGCCCATCGTGGTGCAGGTGCTGCGGCGGGCACCCCGCGCCCGGACGCCGCCGGCCCCGGCCGCCACGCAGCTGGTGGACGCGGGCACCCAGACCGACATCACCTTCGAGCACATTGGGGCCCTCTCCCGGGTGCCCCCGGCCGCGCTGCCCACGTTGGAGCCCTACCTCTCGCCGGAGGAGTAAGTAGCAGGCCCTGGGCCACGGGCGCCGCCGCGCGGGGAGACGCCGGCCCATTGCGCCCTCCCCTCCTCGCCGCCCGCCCTTTACGCTGTTGTTTGTGGAGGCAGTAAATCGAACGCTGCTCAAAACCACTCTGACACGTTAATTACTTTATTAAACCCTGGAGCAGAGTTATTCAAATTATATTCTAAGAACCAAATTACTCACGTCGTAAAAGTTGTTTCCGAATAAAATTTGATCACCGCAAACGGTGGTGGGAAAGGTGCCGCAGGAGGGGTTGCGGACGGCTCTTCGCACCAGACAGGGCGCTGGTGGCTCGCGCTCCGCCCCCCCCCCCGCCCCCCGCCTCGCTGCCAACCTGGGTTCGAGCAGCAAGCCCACTGCGGCCTCGCGTGAGCTCCGCGCACCACGTTCGTCACCCGCCCGGACGCCCGTCCCCCGGCGCTCACAGCCTCAAGCCCCGCGCCCCTGGGGCCGGCCCTGCAGCCGCTGACTTGCCGTCTCCCCGGCCCCGCCCGCCCTGCGTTGAGAGGGCGTCGAGGCGGCGCCGGCCGCACGGGCGCAGGGTCGGTGCTGTGGGGTCTGCAGAGCCATCGTCCTTGCTGAGTGATTGATGTTAAATATTTGGGAACAAAATGGAAAGCGAAAATTTTCTAGGTGTGGCCACCGGCCTAAAGGATGTTCAGGGCCGCTTCTCACGTGCGATTTTACACATCGGCAGCGAGACGTCCACCGCGGGCCCGTGTCCGGCGGAGGCCCGTCCCTCTTGTCCCCTCCCTCGTTGCCCCTGGCTTGCGTGCGTGATCTCCAGGGACATTTTCCCCTCCTCTGGGGACACCCGAGGGAATCCTGTGGGACCTGCATTCTCACTCTGCAGCCGGAGCAGGACAGGTGCCTCGGGGCTCCGTCATGCGCCGGCGCTCCTCTGCGCCTGGCGTCACCGGACCGGGGCCGTTGCCGGCTCCCGCGTGAGAGGGCGGAGCAGGGCGTGTGCAGAGAGCCGTCCCGTTCTCGCCCCGCCTGCCCCGTGGACGTGGGCAGCTGGCGGGTCTGCCTGTCCTCAGCGGCCACCTCGTGAGGTGCCGCCGGGCACCGCTGCACTGAGTCCTGCGGGGCAGCTCCTGAGGGAGCGGTCGGGTACCCTGTGTGGCTTCCAAGGCCTGTTGGGCTGGGCCGGGCGCCCAGACGCTGCACGGTCCCCGTGGCGGCCGCCTCAGAGCGAACCCCGATCTCCTCTGGAGTCTCGAGTGACATGACTCACCCCCAAGGGTCAGCTTGGGAAATGTCAGGAGCTTTGGGAGGTCAGCCCTCCACAGTCCGGGGTGCAAGGTCAGAGGTCAGCAGAACCGGGTGTGCTGACGCAGCGCTTTCTAGCCCGGCCCCCCGCAGCCTCCCTGGCGCCAAGCGACCCCTGCGTCTGTCCTTCCAAAACCACGAGCCGGGCCGTGGCAGGTGCAGCTCAAGGGGCTGAGCGCTGGCCTGTGAGCCAAGGGTCGCAGGTGTGGTTCCCGGTCTGGGCACAGGCCTGGGCTGTGGGCCGGGTCCCCAGGGGGCACACGAGAGAGAACCACACGCGGATGTTTCTTTCCCTCTTCTTTCTCCATCTCTTCCCCTCTCTCTAAAAACAAAGAAATAAAGTCTTTTAAAAAAAGAAGGAAATCTTACCTTTAAAAAAAAGACCACCACATGCTAGGGCAGTGAGACCAGAGCCCATTGGCTGTGGCACTGCCCCTGGAGAGCAGGTGGTTCAGGGCTGACGCCGTGCATCCCCATCTGGCACCTTCGGAGCCGCTGCCTGAGCGCGAGTTCGCGGGGACAGGCGGGGCCCTGCAAGCCGAGTCCCAGGAGCCGCCCGAGGCCAACGGGCTGGCGCTCCTGCCTGTGTGTGGCGTGCGTGTGTGTGCCTCCACGTGCGGGCGGAGACGCTGTGACGGAGCGGCCGGCGAGCGGGGAACGCGAGAGCAGGGGTCGGGGACCGGGCCCTGGCTGCTGTGCCCACCTCACGCCCGCCCCCCCCCCCACCGTGTGCAGGCACCCCGCGGCCCACGAGTACTACGACCCCAGCGACTACCACCAGGACGTGGACCGGGAGGAGCTGGAGCTGGAGGTGAGGCGACCTTGTCCCGTTTCAGGGCCGCACGATGACCAGTGGGTTCTCTCTGAGCCCAGCCAGGGCGACTGCCAGCTGCTCAGAGGCACGTGCGCTGCTCCCTCCGCCGCGGAGTCTGAGGTCCAGACCCCGGAGCAGGAATCGACGAGATTTCTTCCAGTTTTTTGAATTACATTTACTGGAGTGACGTTCATTCGTAGGGTCCTTTTTTACATGAGGGGCTCGGAGGAAGGCAGCGGGTCCTGTTCCGGGCGTGTGTCCCCACCCGACCTGCGCTGCGCACAGCGGGGCTGGGCCGACAGGCCGCCCAGCTCGGCCTCGGGGGCCCACCCCTGCAGGTCGGGCAGCGTCGGGCCAGGCTCGGGGACGCCGGTGGCCGGCGGCTGGTGCCGAAACAAGCTCCGCTCACCTCAGTGGAGGGGCCTCTTCATTCTCTTAATGTGCTGCCGTTTTGGCCGCCTCTGAAATGTCAGGCCTAACGGCTCATTTTTATCCTGCAGTCCATTCAGACCGATAAGCAACAGGACCCGGCGGGGGGAGGTGTGGAAACCCCGGGCGCGGCCCACGGCACGCACACCAGTGTGACCCGTGGTCCCAGCCGCGCGCCTGGCTCGGCCACGTGAGGCTCTACCCCCTGATCAGAAGGAAATGCTGAGTGGGCGGAACTCCCCGCAGAGTCGAGGGCTGTGATTTCTGTGGAGCCCCAAGTGCCGTGTCTGGTCATGAACTGCACGGCAGCTGCCCCCGGACACGCACGGCGCCCGCGTCGCTCCGGCCGGCGCTGTGGTGAGGACACAGGCTCAGGAGTGGCCCCAGGCAGGACAGAGCTGCTGGGATGGGGCCGAGTTGGGACCTGGGGCTTCCAGCTCCTGCTCTGCAGCCCGCGTTACCCTCCGGAGGCCGCAGGGAGGTCGGGGGGACAGCCCTGGGTCGTGGCGGCGCCAGAGTGGGTTTCCCACGACGCTGAAGTACAGTTTGAATCCTCCCATGGGGCCCCGGGGCCCAGGACCTTTGAACCCCCTGTTCTGCCCACACGGTGGCCGTGGTGTTGGGCCCCTGCCTCACATGGGGGGTTTGGGGGAGCACTGCCGTGTGTCCCTGCCGCCCTCTACAGAGCGCCTGACAGGCAGTGGTCCCCGAGGTCAGTGGTTCGGGGACCCCGTCTCAGAGCCCAGTCGCCCCCCCCAGCTCCCCGGTCAGGGATCTGCCAGACCACAGGGTCTGCTGGAGGGAGAGTTTCCACTGCACGGCTCTCGGCGCGGGCGGCAGCCACAGCTTTGGGACCGTGCCCAGGGCTGGCCGTGCGGCCGGGGCGGGGCTCTTGGGGGCCTAGCTCCCCTGTCCCCGGCCGCTTTCAGGGCTCTGGCGGCGCCGGGCAGACCCTGCGGGGTCCCCTGCGCTCACGGCCTCACTGTCTGCGGCCCCTGCTCCCCTCTTCCTTGATTGGCAGTGATAGCGGCTGACGATTTCACAGCCTGTCGTGGGGTACGTGAATCGCTGCTTCCGCGTGACCCTCCTCCCGGTCGATTTGTGTGTGATCTGCAGGTTCTGTTACTGCGAATGTTGAGGCAGCACCGCGTGAAGCGATCTGAGCAGACGCGCTGGAAACCCGCAGGGGAACGGCTGCGTGGTTCAGGGGCGGGTGCCGCCCTTGCCGTGGCAGACGCTGCCGGGTGCTTTTCAAAGGGCCTGTCCCCAGGGTCTCGCTGCTGAGTGAAATATAGGTGATGGGGTGGGGGTCCGTAAAGTGACTGTTTCCAAAATGACTTCACTTCGAAAGGTCCGGAACGCCCTGGGCGTGGACGCCTTGTCCCTGATCACCTCTTGTTTAGTAAGTTAACCCCTCTGCATGGTTGGCTGCAAGGACATTCAGTTCATCGTTTGAAGGAACTGTGTGTACAGCCCCCGAGGCCCCCGCGGGCCAGCGTCTCACAGGACGCTCTCCTTTGCCAGGAAGTGGACCTGTACCGCGTGAGCAGCCAGGACAAGCTGGGCCTCACCGTGTGCTACCGGACGGACGACGAGGATGACATCGGGATCTACGTCAGCGAGGTGCGGGCGGGGGCGCTGTTCCCTCGCGGGGCCAGCCCCGCGCTTGCCGGCCGGTCCGCCGGGGGAGCCGCTGACGCTCGTAGGGGCGCCTCGGTCTCACTTTTCCCTTCCGCTGCCGCGTGGGCTGCGGCGTCGGTGTGAGTTCCCCGTGCTCCCCAGTCCGCAGGCGGGCGTGGCTCCCACCTTTCCGGCAGATACGGCGCAGAGCCGGGGCGGGGCCACGTGCGTGGGCTCACCCGCCAGGCGGTGAGACTGGCGCTCTGTGTTGCAGATCGACCCCAACAGCATCGCGGCCAAGGATGGGCGCATCCGGGAGGGGGACCGCATCATCCAGGTAGGCCAGCGCCGCCTGCCGTGCTCGAAGAGCAGGCTCGTGGGCCGGGGGATGCGGCGCACAGAGTGGGCGCGCAGTGAGCCCGCCAGGCGCGCTACAGGCGTGGGCGCAGCACGCTGGGCCGTCGGTGCCGGCGTGGGGGGCGCCCGCATCGGCCGCAGTTCCCCTTCGGCCAGAGACGCCGCGGGAGGGGTCAGACACCGCCCGCAGTTTATAACTCGTGAACCAGAACAGTTCTCGTTGTAGATTCCTATGAAGTCATTTTCGAACACGTGTTTCAACTTTGGCTTTGTGTTTACAATGGGAACCGCTCCACATTTACTGGGCCGGCTCCTAAGGTCGTTCTTGGCCCTGGCCTGCTGCTCTCTTGAATCAGGAGACGTTTTCCCGGTCTTTCCTGACCTCACAGAAACCAAGGTTCCTTGGCGCTCAGCCCACACGCGTGGCTCCGCCTCTTCTAAACCACTGTGTGTGCCTCTGTCATGCCTTCCTCACTGTGGGGGCTGCGGCTTTTCCCACTGCTCACCCCACTTTTCCTCAAGCTTCTACCCAGTCCTCCGCAGCTCGGGGTCCCCAGCTGCAGGACCACCCCAGCCTCCGCTCCGTCAGTGCTGCCGGCTCCCCCGGGGCCGCTGCGGGCTGCCACCAGCGCCTGCCGCTGGACGGGGCCCCTTGTCTCCTCAGTAACCGATACCCAGCCCCCCAGCCAGTAGAGGCACCCCTTTGCATGCCTCTTGCGTCAGTGGCAGAAGGACTTGGTGGCAGGCTCACCCCCCAGCTCAGGGGGACCATCCCTGTGTTCCCTGGGGGAGGCACCTGCCTGGGACTGAGGCTCCAGAGCAGCAGAGCCCGAAATCCCCAGGACAAGCAGCAAAAACCCTGCGCGGCAATTGTTGGGTTGGAGGCGAGAAGGTCCCCCCACTGCCCATCCGTCTGTCCAGCCTGAACAAATTCAAGTGCCAGGCCGGGCACACGGGCTGCCGAGGGTCGCCCCGCACCGCCCTCCGCGCCGCCCTCCGCCACCACGATGTTCCGTGCAGACCGGCAGCTGCGGCGCCTGCACACTTCACGTCAAAGCCACCGCCCGAGTGTCGTGTCTGATGGAACAAGCGGCTCGTGCGTTCGGCTCACATGGCTCCCACTTGACAGGGGCCTTGGCCACGGGGGGTCGAGGGCTCTGTCCGGGGCCATACGCTGCCACCCCGACACTCGGCACCCTTTCCAGGGCCCGCGGCAGCCGGCGGGTGGGTGGAGCGTGAAGTGGCACCGGCTGTGCTGTGTCCTCCGACCCTGCCTTTGTCCCCCCTCCCACCTTTTATTTTTAAGATTAACGGGATAGAGGTTCGGAACCGGGAAGAGGCCGTGGCTCTTCTGACCAGTGAAGAAAATAAGAACTTTTCCTTGCTGATTGCAAGACCCGAGCTCCAGGTGAGTCCATTTCTTGAGCAATAAGCCGGGCCCGTGTTTCTAACCCAAAAACCCGAGGTCCTGCCCTGGCGGAGCCCAACCTGGCGTCGGGCCTGGACCCGGCGGCTCAGTGCCCCAGAAGGGGCGTCCCGGCGGGGCTGGTGAGGGGAAGGGAAACCGCGGCGAGAGAGCCCCGGGGCCCTGGACCCCAGGACCCTTGGTCCATGGTCCGGCCGGTGCCGCAGCCTGGCCCTGCTCCTGTGTCCGGCTGCAGAGCGCAGGTCGCGGCCTGGCAACCAGACCTAATGACACCGTCCCGGCCTCTGGAGGTTTGCCAAGAGCGCGCTTCAGGTGCTCTGATCACAGAGAGAGAAACAGCGGTGACGTTAGTTAGCGGGACCACAGTGATGATTTCACTCTGTCAGGGTACAGTGTACACCTTGAACGTAGAACAATTTTTTTTTAATGAAAGAAGTTAAGGTGAGTTCCTCTCCAAGGGGCCTAATAGTGCCCCTTCTTCAGGAAAGTAGAAACTTGGAAGAAGGTCAGGTTTGCAGGGGGAGAAGATGATGCAGAATTTCCTGTCCTTGCCTTCCCTTCCCTTTCCTAGCCTACATGTTACAAAAAAAGAAAAAAGAAACATTGGTCAACACACTTTTTACTAAAACAGAAATAAAGGCCAGATTTGGCCCTTGGGCTGTGGATCAAGGGCCCGGACTAGCCAGCTCTTTCAGGGACAAGCGAGGGAGGGGGCCTGCGCTGGGCGAGGCCGGCGCCGGGTGGGGGCTCGCTGTCCTGGCCTGAACCGTGGCCTGCGCCTCGGGAGGTAACGGGGGCCCCCAGGGGCGGGGCGGGGCGGGGCGGGGCTGGGCAGGGTTCCAGGCCCTGGAGATGGTTCTCCCCAAGGAAGTGTCTGTTGTTAAAAAAATGTACATCAGTTAAACGAAAGCGAAGGGACTGAGGCATGTTGGCTGCCGCTTTCCCCAGCTGGACGAGGGCTGGATGGACGACGACAGGAACGACTTCCTGGACGACCTGCACGCGGACATGCTGGAGGAGCAGCACCACCGGGCCATGCAGTTCACGGAGCGCGCGCTGCGGCAGGTGAGACCGGCTGTCCCCCCCGTGCCCGTCGGCCGGCGGGGCCCCGCCCAGGCGCAGGGACTGGAGCAGGAGGTGGTTCCTGGGCCCACAGCGAACGGGTATCGCGCCCTGAGGAGAGAAGTGCGAGCCGACCGCGGACCTCCCGGGCCTGCCCGCGGGGCGGGGTCCTTCCCGCTGTGTAACCTGAGCTGCTCCGGGTGCGGCTGTGCCACCCGCCATCGTCCCACCCGGCTTCTGTCCCTGCATGAGAGATGGTCCAGCCTCGCGGGCAGGCGACTAGCCCCACGCTTGTCCCCTGGCGCCAGGGGCCGCGCTGGGCCCGTCCCAGCCCCCGTCTGCGCTGACAGCGGAGGCGCGCCGCGCGTGCGCCCCGCCCCCCTGTGCCGGAGATCTCATCCGGTAAGTGTGCCCTGGCCGCCCTCGCCGTGACCGCTGTCTCTTGTCCGTTGTGCAGAAGAAGCACGAGGAAGACGGGGGGACCACAGACACGGCCACCATCCTGTCCAACCAGCACGAGAAGGACAGCGGTGTGGGCCGCACCGACGAGAGCACGCGCAACGACGAGAGCTCGGAGCCTGAGAACAACGGCGAGGAGGCACCCACGTCCGCCGCGCCGCTGGCCGGGCCGAGGACGCGCACGTGCAGCCAGGACACGCTGGGCAGCGGCGACCTGCTTTTCGGCGGCGAGTCCTTGCTTTGGGCCGACTGCGCAGACGCTGCCGAGTGCGAGAGCTTCCGCCGGCTGCTGGAGCTCAAGTGCCCGGAGCGCGGCGCCCCCGAGAGCTTGGACGGGGATCTGGGGCTGCTGGACGCCGAACTGTTGGAGCTCAAGTGCCCGGGGCAAGACGCGGGTGCGGGCAGGGGTGCCCCCGAGAGTGTGGACCGGGAGCTGGAGCTGCTCAACGCCGAGCTGCGCAGCATTGAGCTCGAGTGTCTGAGCGTTGTGCGCGCTCACCGGGCACGGCAGCTGCGCGAGGCCTGGACGTTGCACCCCAGTGGCTTCCGTGGCTGCGACACGGAGGCTGACAGCCGCCGGCGTGAGCTCTCGGACATCACCGAGCTCCCCGAGAAGTCAGACAAGGACAGCTCGAGCGCCTACAACACCGGCGAGAGCTGCCGCAGCACCCCGCTCGCCCTGGACATGTCCCCCGACAGCTCCCTGAGGAGAGGGGCAGAGGGGACCACGGGGGCCTGCGGGCCGTCCCTCGAGATTCCGCTGTGCATCACGGAGGACGCAGATGTGCGCGAGGTCCCGCAGAGCCCAGGGCACAGCCCGGGCGACGGTCCCAGCCCCGCGCCCCCGGCGCATGCGCCCCACAAGCTGGCCCACATCCCGGCGCATGCGCGGCGCTACCGCAGCTACATGCAGCTGGTGCAGCAGAAGTCGGCCGTGGAGTACGCGCACAGCCAGGTGAGCCTGCTCGGCGTGTGCAAGGACCTGGGCCCCGCCGGCCCGCCTGAGCCCCGCACCGAGTGGAAGGTGAAGGTGCGCAGCGACGGCTCCCGCTACATCACCAAGCGTCCCGTGCGTGATCGCCTGTTGCGGGAGCGCGCGCTGCGGATTCGCGAGGAGCGCAGCGGCGTGACCACGGACGACGACGCGGCCAGCGACATGAAGCTGGGCCGCTACTGGAGCCGCGAGGAGCGCAAGCAGCACGTGGCGCGCGCCCGAGAGCAGCGGCGGCGGCGTGCACTCGTGCTGCAGAGCCGGCTGGAGGGCCCCCGGGAGCAGCCGGCGGAGGAGGACAGGAGGGAGGTGAGCATCCTGGAGCTGAGCCACAAGAAGATGATGAAGAGGAGGAACAAAAAGATACTGGACAACTGGATGACGATCCAGGAGCTCCTGACCCACGGCACCAAGTCCCCGGACGGCACCAGGGTGTACAATTCCTTCCTCTCCGTGACGACTGTGTAAGCGCAGGGCGGCGCGCGGTGGTGCTCACGGTCCCGCTGTGCCGCGCGGCGCCGCAGCTCCGTTTCAAGCGAGGAAAACCACCGTGAACTGTCTTGGCAGGCGGTGTTCGGAAACAGGCCTTTTTCAAATAGCGATGGTACTTTTTTTACGTGTTACCTTTTACATAAAGTGTTTAAATTTCAAAAAGACCTTTTTATTAAGCATACTTTCACAGAATAACTTGTTTAAATTGTATTCATATAAAAGAAAAAGTTAAACACGCTTTGTTTTTCTGCTGAAAGCACAAATACAACTGCCTGTGTGTATTTTTAATGGAACCCTAGTTTATGATGTTACTTTGCTGAATGTGTTTCATATGCGTGGCCGTTAATCTATTATTTAGGTCTGGGCTTCAACTCAAAACCACCGACCAGTTAACGAGTGAATACACGTAACCAAACCAGCCGTGTTCAAATATGTGTTCCAGCTCTAAACGTTTTTCTGGATTGAAGTCCCCAAGGGAGTGTAGAAGTGTAACAGAAAGTAGCAAAGTGCCACGCAGCCCATGGGAGGTCACAGCGCGTTGGCGAGTGGCCGCCGGTGGGGACACTGCGTGCGGCGTGGCCGGACCTGGGCCGTGTGGGTGTGAAGGGACAGGCTCCTCACCGGCAAGTTCAGGAAGTCGTGGTTACTTACAAACACTAAGTAAATGAAGTTAAAATAAATTATTTTCTATTTGATATGTTCTGAAGTGATGGCTCCTTTTTGAATGGCGCCTCTAAAATAAAGCTTTTACAGTGTGTGATCTCCCTTCACTGTGTGACCTGCTGCTCCTGAGGTCTCCACCCCTTCGTTCTGCCTAGAACCCAAAGAGGGGCCTGGAGCGGCGGTCAGGCGCCGCGTGGGCCGCGCCCCGAGGGCCCGTCTCGCAGAAAGGCTCCGCCTGGCCCAGGGCCCTGCGCGCAAGAACAGCTGTGAGCGAGCGTGCCAGTCGGGGCGCGTGGGCCACAAGCGCTCTGTGGGCCCCGGTGGCCGTCGCGGCCTGGCCATCACGTCGCCACCCCCGGCCACGAGGCCCACCCCCCCGCCGGCCCCCAGGTGCACCTGAGAGTCTTGCGGTGCTTCCACAGCATGACCGGGCTGCACAGCGGGCAGCTCTGGGGCTCCAGCAGCCCCAGGACCCCAAGGGAGGCGTTTGCTCTGAACTGTTCCCTGGTTACAGTGCTCACTACAGTCCAGCTGCGATACCTCCCGAAAAGGCCAAGGCTGAAGGTTGGCTGAGGAAGGGTATCGTTTGCCACAAGGCCAAGCATCAGACGTGGGTTCCTCCCACAGAACCTTTTCCAACCAAAATCCCCTCTTTGGGGCCAAACTCTTGAGACTAGTTAGCAGTCACCCTTGACTGCTAACTAGTAGTCACGACAACCACATAACGAGAATAAGACACGAAAGCTTGTGCCTCACGGCGAGATGCCCGCCCACTGCCCCCAGTAGAGCTCGGCACCCGGAGGTTACGAGGGAGGGAACAACGTCCGGCCACTGGTCCCGCCTCCCCGGGGAGCCAGCACGAGGCGGGCTGCTGGGTTCTCCGCTGAGCCTCTGGCAGCTTGGACTCCCAGGAGGCGGTCCCCACCCCGGCCCCGGACCCCCGGCCCGTCCTCTGGAAGACAGACAAGGCCCATAAATTATAAGTGCTGTGAGGCACATCTCTGCATCCGTGTCTTTGGGGAAATAGCTTTGTTCCCGCGTGCGTCCTCTCTACAGGTTGGGGGTGGGGCGGGTGCCACCTACTGGCCAGGCAGCCGCAGAGCCCTGTGGAGTGCACCTCTGGATTTGGGGGTTGCCTGTGCCACTCACAGCAAAGTGGCAGAGATGACAACTAGCGTGCATGTCCATCCGAGGCCAGATCTTTCCATGACGACTTTTTAAATCACTATATCATGTACACACGCTTGGTCATGATTTGCAATGTAATGCGAGGTCTCCCAAATCTCATTTAGCAAATCAACTCCTGAAAGAAATGAGAAGAGACCTTGGCAGCCATCCTCTTGTCAACAGGCAGGGGACTCCAGGAGACACAGGACCGTGGTGGGTCCGTGAGCACACGGGACCCGACGGGGGGCCGCCCCGCCCTGCCCTGCCGCTTCCCCCAGCCCAGCGTCCCGGCTGTGGGGACCCCGCTCTCCCTGACTGATGGCCTTAGGACGGACTTGGTTCCTGCCGGATGCTGACAAATTGTGGAACAGACGGAAGCCACAGAACCCGTTTCCTCTCGCGGCCTCAGTGGCGCGTGAGCCCGGGTCTCCAGGGATGAGAAATCACTTCTTTAACCCGCGACATCGGTGCCTTTCCCTTCATCTCATTCTGCCGTGGCCTGATGTGGGCTGGCCACACGGCGTCAAGGCCACCGCTGTCCATCAGGTGCCCACAGACGGAGGGAGCTTCTGAGGAGACTCCGGGGGTCTGTGAGCCGTGTGCCCCGGGAAGGAGCGGCCACACAGCGCCCTCATGAGACCCCGGAGGGACGGGGGGCCCGAGGAGCAGCAGCTGCGTGGGTTGAAATAGGGCCGAGGGGCTGATGGCAGCTCTGCGGTCACGTCCCCCAGCGGCTGAGGGACGAGACTCGCGCTGGCCTCTCCCAGGGCCGCAGCTCCCAGGTCTGTCCGGCCAAGGGCGGCTCCTCCGCCGACAGGAAGGACCAAGGAACGGGCTTCCCTGTCTGAGTGAAGAGTCTGTCCCATGCAGTGCTTATTGGGAAGTTATTTTTTTAAAGGTTTTATTTATTTATTTTTCAAGAGGGAGAAGGCGAAGGAGAACGAGGGGAGAGAACCAGCGATCGGTTGCCTCTCCTAGGTGCCCGGACTGGGACTGAACTCGCAACCCAGCCTGTGCCCTGGTGGGAGCTGACCTGGTGGCCTTTCGCGCTGGGGGACGAGGCCCAGCCCACTGGGCGGCGCGGCCAGGGCTGCCGGGTTACGTAGAACAGGCGCGGCTCCGAATGCTTCACAGATGCGTTTGCTGAGTCGGCACAGCAACCCCACGGCCCTTCATTAGTCTCGTCCGGGACACAAGCAGACGGAGGCGCAGAGAGGTCACGGGGCTTACGCAGGGTCACACAGGAAATGAGTGGAAAGGCAGGAGATGACCGCACGTCACTCCGCAGCACGTCCTGGATTAATCCCACGGCAACAGGCTTCCTACTGCAAGACCCTCAAGCTCTTAATGCAGAAATAGGAAGGATGAGCCTTCAATATCCGGATATAGGTTTTGGCATTGTCAGAATTAATCAATGGCCTAAAGTCAGGAAGTTTGTCATTTTGCAGAAGAGCTGAACGTAAACCCACACAGCCTGGCTCCAGGGTCCAAATGCTCAATAACCATCGTCACCGTGGCCTACTTCCGAACGCTATTTTTTCGCTAGAATGATAAAAAATGGGAATCTGAGGTTCTAAATCGGCTCTGGGATAACAGGCTGGAGACACGACCCGCTCGTCCCGGCAGCGCAGCAGCTGCCGCGCCCACCCCCGCCCCCACACCATCCGGCCCCACGTGGCCCGCGGGCCCACCCGCTCTCGCCACGCGCCGTTCGGACGTGTCCTGCCTGTGCAGGGGTCCACCCGGGGGCCCAGCCAAGCCCCTAGGAATGTGCGTCTTGTCCACTTGAGCCAAAGAACGCAGGGCAGGCCCATGGCAACAGCAGCTCTGTCCCTGGCGGGAGTCGCCGAGGCGGCGGGCGGCCTGGGTTCTGCGGCCGCCTTGGTGGCCTCCGTCCTGGGCGGCGGGGGCGTCTCCGTCGCCAGGTGCCACGGCGCTGCTGCCCGACGAGCAGCCCGGCCCGCGGGGGCGTCCACCGCAAGCCCAGCTGCGTGTGCGCGTGCGGGGCAGGCCGGCCGGGCGCCCTGCCGGTTGGCCCGGGTCCCTCGCGGGGCCGGGTGGCTCCGGCGCCTTCACCCACCAGCAGGCTGCCCGGCCCGTCTGGTGGCGATGGCAGAGGCGCAGCGGGAAACCCCGGTGCACAGGCCACGCGCGAGAGAAGGGAATCCACCTCTTTCCCTTTAAAAAATATTTTGAGGTGACTGCAGAGTCACATGAAGTTGTGAGAAACACAGCGAGATCCAGGGCACCCTTTGTGGGGTTTCCCTCCGGGATGATGCCTCCCAAAACCTCGGTCTCACCTCCAGGATGTTGACCGCGACGCGCCCCGCCCGCCTGGTCCGGGGGTTCCCGGGTCACCGCACTCGCGCACCTGCGTGTTTGGGGCCTGGGGTTTTACCACAACGTACGTTTCCGTTTCCTCTGCCGCAGGACGCTGCGCGGCTGCACCGACCCGGCCGCTCCGGCGGCGGCGGGTCCCGCTTCCCTCCCCCGCGCCCGCCCCGGGGCCTGCTCCCCGGAAGCTCGACCTCTGCTCCGTCTCTGGGCGTTGTGTCCCCTGAGGAGTGTTACATAAATGTAGTCACACAGCATGCAATCTTTTGAGCGTGGCTTTTCACGTTATAATTCTCTGGATAGTCACCCAAATTGTCAAACATATCTTATTAAATATAAATAAGTAAATAAATAAAAATGTATTAAATAAAATGAATAGATAAATAAAAACAAATTGTCGGACATATCAACGCTTTGTCGCTTTTTATTTCTGGGTAGTATTCCAGGGCATGGATGTACCACTGTTTGTTTAAACACCCACTAAAACAAAATCTGTGTATTTCTTAGTTTTCGGCTGTTACACACACAGATGCTTTGAACAGTTGCTCTTCGTTGTGTACAGGCTCCTGTGTGCACACAAAGCTGTTATTTTTAGGGGGGTGCGGAAGAACACAGTCCCTGGGGCGTGTGATGAATGCCTGTTTCGCTGCGTTTTTTGTGTGTCTGTGTGTTTGCTCCCCGGGGGCGCGGCCCAGGAAACGGCCAGGTGCGGAGAGGCTGGACGTTCGTACTCCCTGGGGACGCAGCGCGCGCACTTCTGGTCTCTCCGCGTCCTCGCCAGCCGTGGCTGGTCGCTGTTGTTTGTTCCAGCAGTTTTAATAGGTTGCTCTGATAACTCTTGGTGGTGTAATTTGCATTTGCCTCATGGCTCGCTCGGGGGAAATATTCTGATGCCCTTAGTTGCCACCTGCGTGTAATGTTGGAGGCGACATCCGTCCGCCCCTCCGGCCCACCTTCGAGGAGGGTCCTTTGCTTTCTATCCGCCCCCGCACCCTCGCAGGGAGGGCCTCCTGGAGGCCGCGTGGGAAGGTTCTGCACGTGCTCTCGGCGCCTGCGGTTGGCTCTGTTGTACCCTAGTCTCCGCTTGGCTTTCTGCGTCCTTCCCGGCGTGTTCTGAAGAGCAGGCGTGTCGCTCTGGATGACGGGACGGGCCACCGCCAGCTTTCCTCGCATGGGCGGCACTTCTGGGGTTAAGTCTGGCAACTCTTGGCCGAGCCCGGGGCCCCACTTTCTCCTGTGTGTGTTCTAAGTGTCTCACCGTTCTGGCTCCGCACGTGTGCCCGGGGCCCACCTGGAGTGGGTGTCGCCGGCGCGTGAGCCGGAGCCGCGGTCACTTCTCCCTGCGGCTGCCGTCGGCCCAGCACCAGGTGCCGAGAGGCCGCCCTCCCCGGGGGCCTTTGGAAACTTGCTGAAAAACACGTTGGACACATTCGTGTGCCTGTTTCTGGGTCCCTTGTGCTGTTCCGTTGGGCAGGGGGTCCCTCCCCCCACCAACACCGCGCC